GTGTGTGTGTGCGTGTGTGTGTGCGTGTGTGTGTGTGTGTGAGAGAGAGAGAGAGAGAGAGAGAGAGAGAGAGAGAGAGTCAATCAATCAATCAGTCAATCAATCAATCAAATCAATCAAATCAATCAATCAATCAATCAAAGCAATCAAGATCCTATCGATTCGATAGGATCTTGATTGGTTTAGTTGATTGATTGATTGATTTGATTGATTGATTGATTGATTGTGTGTGGGTGTGGGTGTGTGTGTGTGTGTGTGAGAGAGAGAGAGAGAAAGCGGAGAGAGAGAGAGAGAGAGAGTGTTTGTATGTGTGTGTGTGTGTGTGTGCGTGTGTGCGTGCGTGTGTGCGTGGGTGTGGGTGTGTGTGTGTGTGTGTGTGTGTGTGTGTGTGTGTGCGCGGGTGTCTGTGTGTGTAAAAATGCATAAGCAACCATAGCAATCCGAGAACACGAGAACCTCCACATAGATCCACACATAATACTGTTTGCACTGCACTCCCCATCCGTAGGATTGCCTAACGCCACAAACCAACAGTCCCTGCAGACAAGACCAAAGGAATATAGCGGGCACCTCGAAAAAATGTATGCAAGATAGATAGAGAAGAAGGGAAGAGAGAGGGAGAAACAATCATTGTTGGCATAATAACCAGCACGAGGTGCTCTCCTGCGTCCGTCACAGATACCCAAGGAATGTCATGCGAAGGCCACAAAGGCAATTCACGGTGAGGCGAATGACAACAAGGCATTAGACAACGAGCGGTTGCACAACACACAGGGTGGACAGCATGGGGGAGGCGGGTGGGCAGACAAGCAACACAAGGCAATAAGGGAAGAGGCATAGAGTGCCAAGTTGAAAAGGCAGAGAGCGGGGAAAAAAAAAAAAAAAAAAACAGTGATGACAGAGTCAGACAGACTGTTTCGTCAGAGTTGCACCGACTCATCAGGAGGCTGAACCCTCGACAATCTGCGGAATCCCCGTATTTGATGGTTTGGGTCATGAACCCTTTGACCCTTGTTGAAGGCAGACTGTCCCCAGCAGAACTTAGCAGCGTGCGGCAACCCTGTGAAGCACCAGGCAACACAGTAGAGGCATCACAACTGCGCTACGCCAAAAAAACGACTGCAAGGAGCGACATGGCACGCAGGATGCAGCACAGAAACCGTGAAGTGAAGTACAAGACAACACAAACACGGCACCAGCACTGCAGGGGACGATAGGGCGAGTGGTCCAGCAGGTCGGCAACCGTGGAGCGGAGCACAAGGCACCCGCAACAAGGCAACCAACCAACAGGGCACACAAGCGGCAAAGACGGAAGGCACGGCCAGTGAATGAGCAGCATAGCCGGGAAGCAGCGAAGCGCAAGGCACCACCAACAACACGGCCACACTGCACAGCGAACATGTGTGTGTGTGTGTGTGTGTGTGTCCCACCCACATTCCCTCCATGCGGAAGGCCGGATGGACTAGTGTCCAGGGGCACTAGGCCATTCATCCTCGTGCCCCATGGACTCCACACACGCATACAGACAAACACATGCACACACAATAACAGGTAGGATTCTTAGCTGAAAACTTCAAGAGAATAGTCAGATGCACGGGGAAGCTTCCACTGGGGATGGTGTCCATCACCATGAACTAGCAGCAAACTCATTTGCCATTGGTATTGGGGTGACGCATGATATCACAGCTTGACAAGGTGGAATCGACCCCCTTGATAGCAACAGGGGGGACATAAACATTCCCCCGCTATGTGTGTGTTTTGTTGCAACAGTGTGCTACCGCGACGCTAATCGCGGCGAGCTGTGTTTGAAAGAACGATCACAAGCCATACCATCAGGAGGCTGAGTGATCCGCATTGTATGGAGAAGGCACACACATCCCAAACACGAAAGCAACAACATATGTGCATACATAGACCTCTATCCTTCAACACTCCTACAAAGACCAAAGGACCATTGCCCGAAGGCACTAGGCCACAAGACCATAAAAGGAAAGCAAGAGACAACAACAACTAGCAACAGCGCTGCGTAGTGAACTGAAAAGAACAACACCAGACAATCAACAAGGCACAAAACAACGTGCAGCAGCAAAAGGCAGGAGGGCAAGGGGGAGGCGGACGGGCAGGCAAACAACACAAAACATCAAAGCACACTGGGTGAAAGGCTTGGGGTAGACGGACAGGCAAGCAAACAACGTAAGGCAGCGAAGGAAACAACAACAAAACAAACGACGACTATGCACAAACAACGCCCGAAAAAAATACAAGTATAAACAAAGGAAAGACTGAAAAAAATAAAAAGATGATGAAAGATTGTTTCGTCGGAATTGCACCGACTCATCAGGAGGCTGAACCCTCGACAATCTGCGGAATCCCCGTATTTGATGGTTGGGGTCATGAACCCTTTGACCCTTGTTGAAGGCAGACTGTCCCAAGCGGAACTTAGCAGTGTGCGGCAACCCTGTGAAGCACCAGGCAACACAGTAGAGGCATCACGACTGCTCAACGCCAAAAAAACAACTGCAAGGAGCGACATGGCACACAGGATGCAGCACGGAAACTGTGAAGCGAAGTACAAGACAACACAAACACGGCACCAGCACTGCAGGGGACGACAGGGCGAGTGGTCCAGCAGGTCGGCAACCGTGGAGCAGAGCACAAGGCACCGGCAACAAGGCAACCAACCAATAGGGCACACAAGCGGCAAAGACGGAAGGCACGGCCAGTGAATGAGCAGCATAGCCGGGAAGCAGCGAAGCGCAAGGCACCACCAACAACAAGGCCACACTGCACAGCGAACACATCAGCCTGCAAAGAACCACATGCGAAGCAAGCGGGACACGGGCAGCAGGGCAGCGGCGGAGCGCAGACGAGGACGTCCACACATCCAACACGGAGCAAAGCAGCACATGACCTACTCACATCACGATTGAACCCCGCAGACTGTTGGTTCCCACCACCCACTGAGCCAGGGAGTCAACCCGACGAGCATCCGTCATCACCGAGAGGCAACACAGACATCCCGAACCGAGCGGCCCCCCTAAGAGTGCAGTTGGCACTCTGAACGAGGAACCAACGACTGTTTGGCACTACTAGAGGGCGCTCAATTGGGCATACACGAAAGGACTTAGACAAAATCAGAAAGAAGACAGACAACAGAAAAAAGACTGACATACATCAAACTGATTGTGTGTGTGTGTGTGTGTGTGTGTGTGTGTGTGTGTGTGTGTGTGTGTGTGTGTGTGTGTGTGTGTNTGTGTGTGTGTGTGTGTGTGTGTGTGTGTGTGTGTGTGTGTGTGTGTGTGTGTGTGTGTGTGTGTGCGTGCGCGGGTGTCTGTGTGTGTAAAAATGCATAAGCAACCATAGCAATCCAAGAACACGAGAACCTCCACATAGATCCACACATAATACTGTTTGCACTGCACTCCCCATCCGTAGGTTTGCCTAACGCCACAAACCAACAGTCCCTGCAGACAAGACCAAAGGAATATAGCGGGCACCTCGAAAAAGTGTATGCAAGATAGATAGAGAAGAAGGGAAGAGAGAGGGAGAAGCAATCATTGTTGGCATAATAACCAGCACGAGGTGCTCTCCTGCGTCAGTCACAGATACCCAAGGAATGTCATGCGAAGGCCACAAAGGCAATTCACGGTGAATGACAACAAGGCATTAGACAATGAGCGGTTGCACAACACATAGGGTGGACGACATGGGGGAGGCGGGTGGGCAGACAAGCAACACAAGGCAAWAAGGGAAGAGGCATAGAGTGCCAAGTTGAAAAGGCAGAGAGCGGAAAAAAAAAAAAAACAAAAAAAAAAAAAACCAGTGATGACAGAGTCAGACAGACTGTTTCATCAGAGTTGCACCGACTCATCAGGAGGCTGAACCCTCGACAATCTGCGGAATCCCCGTATTTGATGGTTTGGGTCATGAACCCTTTGACCCTTCTTGAAGGCAGATTGTCCCCAAGCGGAACATAGCAGCGGGCAGCAACCCTGTGGAGCACCAGGCAACACAGTAGAGGCAACACGGCTGAACAACGCCAAAAACGACTGCAAGGAACGACATGGCACGCAGGGCATGCAGCACGGCAACCATGTAGTGAAGCACAAGACAACACAAGCAAGGCAACAACAGTGCAGGGGACGACAGGGCGAGCGGACCAGCGGCTCGGCAACCGTGCAGCGGAGCACAATGCACCAGCAACAAGGCAACCAACCTACAAGGCACACAAGCAGCAAACAAGGAAGTCACGACCAGCGGATGAGCAGGACAGCAGCGGAGCAGCGAAGCACAAGGCAACGCCAACAACACGGCCACACCGCACAGCGAACACATCAACCTGCAAAGAAACACATGTGAAGCAAGCGGGACAGGCAGCAGGGCAACGGCGGAGCACAGACGAGGACGTCCACACATCCAACACGGAGCAAAGCAGCACATGACCTACTCACATCACGATTGAACCCCGCAGACTGTTCGTTCCCACCACCCGCTGAGCCAGGGAGACACTCCGACGACCATCCGTCATCACCGACAGGCAACACAGACATCCCGAACCGAGCGGCCCCCCTAAGAGTGCTCGGCTAGAAACACAAAAAGCACTTAGACAAAATAGGAGAACCGAGGAAAAACAAACATACCTAAAACTGATTGTGTGTGTGTGTGTGTGTGTGTGTGTGTGTGTGTGTGTGTGTGTGTGTGTGCGCGCGTGTCCGGGGGAGGGGAGGGAGGACCCCTCCCCCACCAATCAATCAATCAATCAATCAATCAATCAATCAAACAATCAAACAATCAATCAATCAATCAATCAATCAATAAAAAAAAACAATCAATCAATCAATTTTTATTTTTTTTCAATTTTTTTAATTTGTTTTGACACATAGCTGGCAAGGATGTTTATATCAAATTGTCTTTTTCTTTTTTTGTTATTCTTTTTCTTTTTTTTTTCTTGTTTTTTCTTTTTCAAAGGATCTAATTCTGCTTCATAGGTTGCTTATTACCTGTGACCTATCAAGGTAATAGTGTGCCTTCTTCAGAGATTTCGCCGTCTCATCTACCATATTTGTCGCAACAAGCGCCTGCACAGCAAAGGCTGTGTCCCACAGCTGCGACCCATTGTACCCCTGCAAGAAAAAGACACCAGGAGAAGTGTGAGGAGAGCCCGTCAATCATGAGAAGCATCCAGACCACAATCACGCAAGTATACAGAAGAGCGCACTCAAATTGGAACCAGTTACAATGTCGAACCTAGCTCAGTTGGTACACCCATGAACTGTTGAATTACACACCTGGGTTTGAATCCTGATGAACATGGTGAATTACTGGGGCCGGTTAACTCGATGATCATTTCTCAAGGCCGTTACCCCCTTTTTTTAAAAAAAGAAAAAGAATAAGTGAAGAAGCACTCGATGTAGTCCCAGATAACGACCAAGTCACCGGAAGTCGGAAAAAGGTAAAGAAGCCATGCAGAGAGAGGGAGAAATTCCTGGAGGTGAAGACCGGTGGAAGAGCCACTTTTCAATCGTATTGTAGTGAAGAAGCACTCAATGTAGTTCCAGATAAACAGTGAGTCACCAGGAGTGAGACAAAGGTAGAGAGGCCATGGAGAGAGAGGGAGGAGAGAGAGGGAGGTGAGTTTCATTAATAATCCACAAAAAGGTTACCTGTTGCAGCTTCACCCGCAATAAAATGAAGGAAATTATCCGAAATAGTGTTAAAATAAGGATGGGTGGGGATTTGTTGGTTGGGGGATGGGTTTGGGTGGGGTTGGGTTGGTTTTTAGGCTCTCCTGTGCATTGTTGTTGACGCAGTTCCTCTCTCTCTCTCTCTCTCTCTCTCTCATTAAATCTTATAGGTGGGTTTGGAAACTGGTTTGTTCCTATTTTAATTGGAGCGCCTGATATGGCCTTTCCACGATTAAACAATATCAGTTTTTGGTTATTACCACCATCACTATTACTTCTTCTAAGTTCTGCTTAGTGGAAGTAGGTGCTGGTACTGGACGGTCTAAAAAACACAACATATTGAAAAAAGATTTCCATATACTATTTTGTTTCATTGCAGTGGTTTGACTAGCCAACAATGGCGACAATTGAAGAATCTTTTATTTGTCACTCATGGTCAAACAGTCTCAAACTTTGTTTCAACCAAGTGCTTTCTCTTCGGCCCTTCATGATAGCGCTGGACCTACCTGTATTTTGTACTTGACTGACTCTTGCAACAAAAATGCTAAGAATGAAAAAATAACGACCTTTTTCAACATACATGTCCTTAGTACATTTAATAATTTTAATTTCAATTTCAAATTAATCACTTGAACAATGACTCAACCGGTTTTTGATTGAATAACTATAAAAAAGATAGGATAAACTGTCGTGGTTCATCTGATAGAAAAAACAAAGTTAACAACAAAAAGCTAGTAGACATCAGTAAGATGGGTATCAGCACTCACGCAAGGACCTAGACCTTCAGGAGACAATTCAATTAAATTCGAGATCGTGGGAACTGGGGAAATAACTCCACGGTGGTAACATACCAAGGAGAATTCAGAGATCCCGTTGTAGAGAGAGAGCGTGCTGTTTTTTTTAGCCTCACCTGTGCATTGTTGTTGATGCAGTCCCCCCTCCACGTGAGACGGAAAGGGGAGGGTAGGGGGGGGGGGGGGGGCCCCCCGGGGGGGGGGGGGGGGGCGTAGTTGGTTAGATTGGGGTGTCTCTCTCTCTCTCACGCTCTCTCTCTCTCTCTCATGTGCTCGCATGCGGTTTTTTCTTTTTCTTTTTTCTCTTTTCTTTTCTTTCAAAAAAAGAGGGGTCCCGATTGACCACGGATCAGATATGAAACTGCTCGGACCACATACAACACTTGATCATGTTGGAGGGGGGGGGGGGACTGTAGTTAGTTAGGTTGGGGTCTCTGTCGCGCGTGCATACACATGCTTTATTATTATTATTATTATTATTATTATTATTATTATTTAAGGGTATCGAATCTATCGATGGACCACGCATCACATTTGCAACTCATTAGATTGGGGTCTCTCTTTCTTTCTCCCTCTGGCATGCGTCGTTTTTTTTTTCTTTTTTCTTCAAGGGTCTCCATTGACCACAGATCAGATTTGAAACTGATCGGAGTGGATACTACACTTGATCATTGGGGGATGGATGGGTGGACGAGTAGTTAGTTCGATTGGTCTCTCTCTCTCTCATTGGGGGATGGATGGGTGGGCGAGTAGTTAGTTCGATTGGTCTCTCTCTCTCTCTCTCTCTCTCTCTCTCTCTCTCTCTCTCTCTCTCTCTCTCTC